TTTAGGAGTTTATAGCTTATTTTAAGCTACTAATAAGCTATAAGCTCTGTTTGGTAATGTTTCCAAAATAAGCTCCTAGCTTAAAATAAGAGCTTATTATGTGAAGTATTTAAAAAAGATTGTTGGTGTTTGGATAATGACTTATCAATCAAAGTTTTGTTTATTTAAGGGAAAACTGTAAAAAATGCCTCTTTATAATATGACAATTATCAATGTTACTCCTGAATTATGAGTGGTGTAAATGTTGTCCCTCAATTATCAAAACGGTGCATATATAGCCCCTCCCGTAACGGACATGTGGTTTCCCGTTAATGTACGACACTGTTAAGTCGGAGTAAATATGTAATTTAGTTGTTTTTTTCCTCCCTCGATTCGAAGTACCAACGATGGACAGCGGTGGGGAACCACAGATCCGTTACGGGAGGGGCTATATGTGCACCATTTTGATAATTGAGGGACAACATTTACACCACTCATAATTCAGGGGGACATTGATAATTGGTATATCATAGAGGGGCATTTTTTACAATTTTACCTTTATTTAACCAACTTTAACTGTTTGACTTGGTCAACCAGTTAAAATGAGCGTTATAGTAAACAACTTTTTTGTTTGGCTTGATGCCAATAAGTTAATAATAAAAAAATCTATTTGAAGTAACTTTTTGATATTTGCCTATTGCATTTTCTTTTTAAAAGTCTAATTTACTTTTGATAGTTGTTTTTTTATTGTAGTATTTATATTGATTCAATTTATATTCAAATTTACTCCGTACATTTTTACACTACTGAAAATTCTGAAATTTCCGACCACCTGAAAGTGATCTTAAATCAAGTCGAAAGCTTTGTTCCAACCGCTTTTGGTGTCCGGAAAAACCTTTGTTGCTATTTCCGACCACTTTTTGCTTTCAACTTGATTTAAGATCATTTTCAGGTGGTCGAAAATTCCATAATTTCCAGTAGTGTTAATATCATCCTAACAAGCCTAGAGCTTCTTGCATCTTTTAGTGAGCTTCCAAGAAAATCACACGACGTCCATGAGATCTTCAAAACCTATCCTAGAGCATGTTGCTTCATCCTGCTATTATCACAAGCTCTAAAAAGGTAATCTCTTTGAAGTGTGATGAGATGAAATGTTATTTTTCGACATTTGAATTGACTCTCGATGCATGGCACTTTATATATATATATATATATATATATATATATATATATATATATATATATATAGTTAAAATAATTAATAATAACAACAACAATAATAATAAATTGTAAACGTAATTTAAGAGTTAAGTAAATAACACAATATACTAATGCCTTTATAAGTCATTTTAAATGTAATCAATTAAGAGTAAAAATCTAATTTACGTACCAAATGCATTTTTATAACTCCAATATTATCAACGGGTCAAAACAGTTAACATAATAATCTATTGACTATCAGCTAAACCAATGAACTATCAATTATTAATTGCCAAACACCCGAGTGTAAGTATCTTAAATTAAGTTGAAAGCAAAAAGTGGTCGAAAATAGCAACAAAGGTTTTTTCGGATACCAAAAGTGGTCGGAATAAGGCTTTCGACTTGATTTAAGATCACTTTCAGGTGGTCGGAAATTCCATAATTTTCAGCAGTGTATATACAAAATTTAATTAAGTACATAGAAGTAATACCGTAGGTATATAAAAGTGACACCAACAGTCACTGCTGGAAATTATGGAATTTCCGACCACATGAAAGTGATCTTAAATCAATTCGAAAGCAAAAAATGATCGGAAATAGCAACAAAGATTTTTCCGGATACCAAAAGTGGTCGGAACAAGGGTTTCGACTTGATTTAAGATCACTTTCAGGTGGTCGGAAATTTCAAAATTTCCAATAGTGAGTAGTGAATTTATAATGTACCTACCGTAGTAACTTTTAATTTATGAACCACATTTGTGTACCTAAAATAATGACTTCATATATATGTAAATTTATTTTTAAAAAATTAAAAAAGAAATATTAATGTGTGTCATTTAAAAGATCTCAATTAGAGTTTTTTAGTGATATATTTTTTATACATTAATTTTATTTGAGAAAAAAATGAAAAAATGTAGTAAAATTTGGACCAAGATTTACCTTGCAGACTCTAAGTCCATCATATAAATACTGCTAGGAAATGCAACATGCCTTCCACATTCAATTTTAAAGGAAATATGACTTCCTCCCAAGTCAAATGTTTTGTTCATATTACCCTTTTAATTCTAATATTTATTCATAAATAAATAAATAAAGAGAAAATTATAGTTTTATTTCCTGAGTTATAAACAAATAAAGTGTAACTTTCATCCCTAATTAATACGGATTACAGGGTTACAATAGTACCCCTCTAATAAGTCACTAAGGATCCGTTTAGAAATTGATAAAATGTTTTTCAAAAAATAATTTCTAAAAAATGATTAATTTTCTAGAAAATAATTTCAATTTATATTGTTTGACTTTAAGTTAGAAAATTATTTTTTTTTTCTATTTCATTGGAAATTAGAAAAAAAATAATTTTTCTATTTGGTTTAGTTTTTTTAAAAATAACAAAAAATTATTATAAAATTATTTCTTATAAAAGATTAATTATTTTCATAATGATAATAGTAATTATGATACGATAAAGTTTCATTTTCTAACCTAACCAATAAACGTTCCGGCTCCAACTTATATTATAATTTATTTATATTAAAATAATATTATAAGTTAAAATTTATATAACTAATTAGTTATAAAGATTAACAATAACTATAATAAAAAGATGTAAATAAATAATTTATAAGTTTTAACTCATTATAATAAAAGTATAAATAAATTGATTAACATATAAATCTAAACTAAAGAAATTGAAAAAAAAAAATGGCTATAGTTAAGGTTGTGCCCTTATTTTTATTATTTGACCGATCTTGTCTCAACACAAACGAACTAAAGAAATTTAAAAAAATAATAATTAAAGATCGAGTTATGGACTCGATCAGATTTTTTTTTTAATTGTTTGGCCAAAGAATTGAAAAAAAAAAAAAACAAAAAAAAACAAAACAAAACAAAACAAAAGAGCAAAAAACATAATTAATTTTTTTTGGGCTTTAAGTCAACCAAGGCCCAATTTTATTTTTATTTTTTTGAAAAGGAGGCCCAAATTTTTATTATTTGGAAAAACTCATCCTGAACGGAATGAAAAAAAGAAATTGAAGAAAACAATAAAACCTTAACTAAAAAAAAAAAAATGCTTTGGGCCAAGCTGGGCCCAAATTTTATTGTTTGGCAGTTTGGCTCCAACCATGAAGATGAGAGGATGAGAAAATGGGAGTGTTATGCCCTGGACCCGTGTCCACCATGTGCATGGTGGACACGCTATAGATTCATAATTTCTGTACTGTAGATTCATAATTTCTATACTGTAGATTCATAAAATTTATAATGTAGATTCATAATTTCTGTACTGCACATTCATAATTTTTGTACTGTAGATTCATAACTTCTATACTGCACATTCATAATTTCTGTACTGTAGATTCATAATTTCTATATTGTAGATTTATAATTTTTATACTGTAAATTCATAAAATTTATAATGTAGATTCATAATTTCTATATTGCACATTCATAATTTCTGTACTGTAGATTCATAATCTGATAACTATGTGTTCATAATTTGATAACTATACAGTTAAGAAATTATGAATCTACATTACAAAAATTATGATAAAAACAAAAATTTATAGCAACATTGAAGAAAAAAAAAAAGACGATGTGATCTGATGAGTAACCTTCTACATGTGAATTGATGCTAGAGCCTAGAGATCTATGCGACAATTTTATCCCCAAATATATCATCATTGAGATAAGTCAGTTTTGACGCGGATATAACGCCTCAAAACTAGAGGTATTAATGAGTCAGCAGTTCGCGAACAACTAGCAAATTGCTCGGTCAGCTTTGAGCTCAAATCGGTTCGTTTCATAATCGAACCGAACTCGAGCTTCGATTTTTTAATTTGATCAAGTTCAAGCTCGGCTCGTCTCGTTTACACTCCTACTCAGAGCTGACTTGCGCCAATTCTGGTGTGAGTTACATACGCTAAAATAAATATGAATTATATTGGGAAAACAATAATGGGGTTACCATTTTCTCCTGCAAAAAGGGAAACCCCATTGTTGTTTTTCATTTCCTTGTCCAAGTGCAAGAAGCTCGACATTTGTGTCCAAGTCATTATTATTCTCGGCGAAATAAGCTATGTCTCTTTTTTGTTTATATGTGTTTGTCTTATTTTGTTTAGTTATTATTGCTCCCAACTTATTATATATAGATTGCTTAATTTTTTGTTTATTTTTTAATGCTAGTGTTTAGTTACTTGTGATTGCATACTATGTGTCATAAGTCATAACTTTCAAACCAAGAGAACGACATAACACTCATATTCACCGCAAAAATTCTACACCATGAGTAGAAGACGACCTTTGACGGAATGAGTACAAAACGATCAGACTGATACATAATATGAATTATTTTATTTTAAATATTTATGTCATACATTTTTTTTTTCAAATATTTATGTAAAATGAAATACTTTTATATTGATTTTTTTTTTTAAATAATAATAATTCTATGTAATTACAATTTTTATTTTCGCTATTTTTTAAAAAGAATAAAAAAAACACGAGATTAAGAAAAATGAGTCACCCCTTGGAATAATATAAAGTTGTGCTTACCACACTTCTCTCCATCCCGACACCCAAAAACCAACAAATTTTCTTAACAATTCATCAGTTAAAACTTTTGATAAAAAATATTAATCTTTTAATCATTATTGATATGAATAAAACTGAAGAACAAGAAAAGAAAAACTATCATATTAGCGTAAACAAATTAAACATTATTCTGTATGGCTAAAAAATTATCAAACTATCAAATTGATGTTTACCTGGTGCTCAAAAGGATACTTAAGAATTTTTTCTTCTTTTTTTTTTTTTGGTTGGAAAAAAAAAAGGTGATAAAGAAACCTTTTTATACAAATGGATAGATGATTTAGTAAGAGTTCTAAGTACCTTATAGCAACTTCACCAAAGAAACAAGGCTGGCCACTCGCTTTCGACGAGCTGCAAAGTTGTACTGGCTGTACCTAGATCAGGGCTTGACCGCTACAGCCAATCCAATCTTGGGACTCTTCTCAACTGCCTTAGTATCCACTTCACCAGTGATGGTGAAGACTGATCTTGGGCGCCACTGGTGTTGGATGAGAGCAGTTGCTATGCATTTGTTGTTAACCTTAGCCTTCACTGTTGTCAATGGGTCTAGCGAGTGCTGTGTCCCAATGGTTAGAGTATTCTCATCACTTGAGAAGTTGTGAGTAAACTCTGCACCAGCAGCTGTATTTGTCAATGGGTTCACTGAGTGGTAGTAGGAAGCTGTAAGGGTGTCTCCACTATTCCTGCATTCAAAAGAGTCACATAATCGAAACTGGCGTGAGTGGTCATGCACTCTCATCCCTTAAGAGAGGTCGGGAATTCAAACCCCCTCTTGTATGGAAAACCCAATTTGGCCAGCACTTTGCCCTTAATTGGGTGGGCCGGGTGTGAACGGGATTAGCTGAGTATAGTATGGGCTTAAAGGTACCTCCTACTGTTAGGGCCTATTCAGGACACCTCGTGGTCTAACCAAAAAAGAGTCACATAATCGTGCCAAAATAAGAATTTGATGCAAGAATGAACATGTGCAATTCATTTCTGTCCATAATTCACAGCATATGTAGATCGCAGAATGGATTTTGGGGGAGTAGGATAATTATTCCATAAGGAATGAAGCCGGGAATAGAATAGGAATTCCATTATATTGTTTGGTTCACTGAGGTGACGTACTGATGCTTGGTTCGAGGAATAGACAAGGAATGGAACAGACTTGAGAATTGCATTCTAATGTTTGGTTGGTTTAAGGAATAAAAATAAAATAAGTAGAAATGCAAGCCATCAAAAGCTAGAAGTTGCAAGGGAACACTTGAAAACAACTGGACGAAAATCCAGAGGTGAATTTGAATACTCACAATGTTAAAGAAGCTATTAAATCAGAGGAGGAGAAACTCATGCCAGCATCGCATTTGATGAAATTCCCAGTTGCAGTGTTAAATGAGAGATCCGATCCCAGAGCAAGAGAGTTGTTTCCAACAACACCAGAGAAATTGACAAGTGGACTTGCAGTGAGTCCAATGCTAGTACTGATCCCTACATACTCATTCAAGTATTGGATCTCTACCTGTTAGCCATTTAAATATTATTCAGTCCTAATCATCTCTGTGGTTTCAACAAAGAGACAATAATGCAAAAAGAAATTATCAAATTCACCAAAGAAGATACCTTGCCAGATCTCTGGTCTGGAACAATAAAGCTAAGGACTGTCTTCAGTCCAGGGGCAGGTTCATCAACAGTGATAGTTGTGTAAATCTGCATAGTACATTAATTTACCTTTCAAATGTCAAATTTTCCTGTGACTCAAACTTTTACTGGAAAAAAGAAAATATTGTCTTTAAATTTAAGGGAAAGGAAGTCAATCTCATCAAAATCGAACTGATAAAATTTATGTTCTTCAGACCAGCAGCACACAACTTTGAACATTTTGATGAGAAGGAAGAAAAGCAAAAAGTTTAGGTCAATCATATTAGACGTAAAAACTAGAGATATTGTCACAACCCAATGAAGAAAGCATGTGTCGAGGAACATTCTAAAGTTTGGATAACCAGAAGAGATCAAATGAATACAAAAGAATCATTAATTGCTACCCTTTGACATTCATTAAATGCTCACCCTAGTTGGCTGGAGTAACTTATCTAAGATGTTTTACAAAAAGACAATGAATATAGACAACTGACAAAACATAACAAAAAATGAATAAATAAATAAATAATGAGGTCACTGCAAGAATGAAATGATACTAATACAATATCCCCCTAGCCCCTACCCCACGCGGCCACTCCACCTTGCAGGTGCTGTAAACACAATTTAGCGCAACTCTTTCACACAATGTTCTCAAGTTTCAAGAACAAATTGAAAAGGAAGGATGGAGGAGGGAAAGAATAAACAAGTTTCAAGACTCACATTAGAGCTGGTGTCCACTTTAACATCAGTTACGATATTCTTGTTCTTTAGCTGGGTGCTAACATCGCCTAAATATAACTCACCTTTCTTAACACCAGATGAAGTAACAGCCTGAAATAAATGGGAAAAACGATAGCCAAGACAATCGTATCATCAAATTGAATTTTAACAATCAATACATAAAAGGATATGCTAAAATCAAACGCACATTATAAATGCAAGTCCACTTACAAAAGCAGATTGATAAATTCAATATTATCCACAAAAGGACTCCTCTACCAATATAAAACACAGAATTCCAGCCAGCCAGTACAATTGTCATAGTAATCAACTAAGGTTCTCTTCATGTTTCCATCAATTTACTCAACTAAATAGTTATGTAGTTAACTAACCACATTTATTCAAAGTTCAAACAGTTAACTATCAAAATTTCAAATAAAATTAGAATCATTCGTGCATGTTTGCGTACATAGATACATCCATACATACATACATACATACATACATAGGGAGCGGGAAAAAGAGACTGACCACTCCATTGGAGTTGCAAGTAGTGACGGTGAACTTGTGATCGGCCACGTAGTCCTTGTAGAGAAGATCTGAAACAAAAATAATTTACATTTCATCCGATTCAATGCACACAAATTTATATAACTAAAACACAGTTTTATAGAACAGAAAAGAAAAAAGAAAAAATTGAAAATGACCTCTGGCCTTTTTGCCGATGTCGGAGTAAAGACCGGGGCCTTTCACCATTTCCACCGTTGGTTGCACCGGAGCTTGTAGAGAAGGGAACGAAGGCCAAAAGGGGTTTTGATTTTCAGTTGTAGTTCCGGAGGAGCGTCAGCAGAGAGAATCGGAGCTCTATTTTGAACGATCATTTTACCTGAACCAAAACTGAAGAAGTTTTACCAAACTTTCAATTTGGCCCTCAATATATTTAATATTCCGTACTGCTCTCTCTATTTCAAAAAGATTGTTTAGAGCATCCCAGGTTTTTTGAGCGATTTTTTTTTAAAAAAATTATATGTGTAATGTGTAATTAGGAAAAAGAAGATGGTAGGGAAACGAGAAAAAAAAAAGGGGAAAACAAATATCTATAAAGCAAAAGAAATAAAAATAAAATAAAAGTGAAGTGTTAAACACGCAGCAATTTCTCTTGCAGCTCACACTCCAACAACTAGGCGGCAGTGCAGCTGATGAATGTAGTTTGTATTGATAATCATAACCGAATGATAACACAAAAGGTATATACAGCAAGGAAGTAATTCTAGAGTCCTAGTCTATCATGTACAAGAATATAGTTCTAGTCTACCGTAAATACAAGTCCTAACACTTCCCCTCAAGTGCAAGGTTGATAGCCAACAACATTGAGCTTGTCACGCAGATGCTAATAGCGCTTGCTGGCCAAATGCTTAGTGAATATGTCAGCAAGCTGATCCTTTGTAGATATAAAATGAACCTGTATTTCACCCTTAGATACTTTGTCACGAACAAAGTGATAGTCAATCTCGACATGCTTCGTCCGAGCATGAAAGATCAGATTGGCACACAGGTAGGTGATACCTAAATTATCACACCATAGCCGAGGCGGAGCAGTAAAAGAAATCCGCAACTCACGTAGTAAAGAAACAAGTCAGGTTACCTCAGCAGAGACATCCGCAATAGCTTTGTACTCAGCCTCCGTGGAAGAATGCGCCACAGTACGCTGCTTCTTACACACCCACCAGACCATGTTACACACGAAAACACCGCAAAACCACTCGTGGACTTTCGGTTAACAGGATTACCGACCCAATCAGAATCAGAGTACGCATGAATGGAGGTAGAAAGCGACTTCCGAATAAGTAAGCCAAGATGTGTGGTACCTTTCACGTAACGCAGAACGCGTTTGAGCATAGACTAGTCAGCCGTGGTAGGAGCATGCATGTGCTGACAGAGCTTGTTCACCGCAAAAGAAATATTAGGCCTGGTGACAGTAAGATACTGAAGAGCCCCAACCAGACTTCGGTATTGAGTAGGATCTGCATATGGAACAGCTGACTCCTCATCCACCTTGACAAGAGATACCGGCGTGCCAAGAGCCTTGCAATCAGTCATGCCAGCTCGTTTAAGAAGATCACCCATGTACCGCTAACTGAGACAACAAAAGACCACCTTGATGAGAAACCGTCTCAATACCAAGGAAAATGGACGGAGCTCCCATATCCCGAACCTTAAAGACAGTGGCCATTCGAGCTAGCAAGTCAGTAACCTGAACCTGATCAAAACCAATCACAAGAATATCGTCCACATAAACCAGAACAAACAATTGAACATTAGAATTAGAGTGGATAAACAAGGACACATCAGTTTTAGAAGAAGCAAATCCAGCAGAAACCAAAAAATCATGTAACCGGGTAAACCACGCCCGCGGAGCCTGTTTAAGACCATAGAGTGACCGCTGCAGTAAGCAAACATGACCCGACTTATTCTTATCTTCATACCCAGGCGGCTGACGCATATAAACGATATCCGATAAATTGCCATTAAGAAACGCATTGTGAATGTCTAGCTTCCGGATCACCCAATCACGAGACACGGCAAGAGAGAGAAACAAACGGACGTGGTGGGTTTGACCACCGGACTGAAAGTATCGAAAAAATCCTGACCGGCCACTTGGTTAAAACCCTTGGCCACAAGTCTGGCCTTATACCGCTCAACAGACCCATCAACCTTACGCTTAGTCCGGAAAATCCACTTACAACCAACAATATTCATACCGTGAACCTCGGGAACTAGCCGCCATGTGTGATTATATAACGCATTAAACCCAGTGTCCATTGTTTCACACCACTGTGGATACTTCACCGCTTGAGAAAAACACATCGGATCCGGAGCAGAAGGCTAAGCCACCAGTGCCACATGATCCTCGGCAGCCACCCCCATACTGCGCAAGGACATAGAGTGCGACCGAGGGAGGTGCTGCCGACGCTGTCGACGACGAACTGGGGCTGCTGTGTCCGTTGTGGATGTCACTGCCGAACTGGACGGAGCAGCAGCATGCAAAGGCACTGCCTACCGCGAGCCAGACGCGACACCAGCATCCTAAGCTGCACGGGGAGCTGCCAACATGAGACCAACAGCAGGTAATGATGGCAGACAGGAAGCAACATGCACAGGGGCCACGGACCATGGATCAGAAGCATTTCCAGAGTGCAAAACCTGCGGAGCAGAGGCAGAAACAAAAGGGAACACAGATTCATCAAATCTCACGTGTCGGCAAATAAAAACCTTATTAGTGGCAAGATTCATGCAACGATAACCACGGAAAGAATCAGGATACCCCAAAAAGACACAGGGAACAGACCGATACTCAACTTTATTTTTATTATACGGACGGAGTAATGGAAAGCAAAGACAACCAAAGACTCTCTAGGTTGATAGCGATAAAGCAAATAATACGGACTCGAATTCCCAGAACTGACGTGGGAAATCTATTAATAAGATAGACTGCGACCTCAAAAGCATACTCCCGAAAACGAATAGGAACAGAAGCCTGAACCATCAAAGCAAGGCCGGTTTCAACGACATGACGATGTTTTCGCTCAACCCGGGCGTTTTGCTCGTGTGTATAGGCACATGATTGACGATGAAAAATACCGAGATTAGCGAGAGTAGTATGCAATTTTTTATACTCTCCCCCTAAATCGGACTGAAGACACTTAATTTTGCAGGAAAAAGTCCTTTCAACCATAAGACGAAAACGAGCAAAAATATCATACAAATCCGTTTTTGCACACATAGGGAACAACCAAGTAAATCGCGAGTAGTCATTAACAAATAATACAAAATATCGATATCCATTAACATATGTAACAGGCATGGGGCCCCATATATCGGTATAAATCAAATCAAGTACATGACTACTTGACGAACTAACACGAGGCAAGGGAAACCGAGAGGATTTCCCAAGCTGACAAGACGAACATAAAGACGAACTAATGCTTTTAACAAAAGAACTAACAGGACAAGACTTCAACACTTGACCCAAGACGCGATGGTGAGGATGCCCAAAACGCTTGTGCCAAACCAAATGAGATGCCCGAGACGCAAAGAACGCAGCAGACATAGAAAGCGACAGCGGCCACGTATAGAGACCACCGGAAGTGCGACCTTTCAAACAGGACCGCCTTGGTTGAAGGATCCTTCACAAAGAAAACATCAGGATGAAACTCGAAAAAGACATTATTATCAGTAGCAAACTTACAAACAGATAATAACGACGTAGAAATAGAAGGAACATGCAAAACATTAGATAAGTTAAACGAACGAGACTCAGTGGTTAACGAAGCATGAACAAGACCAGAAATAGGCAAACTTGCACCGTTTCCAACACGGAGAGTGTTTGGGCCAGTATACTCAGCCATAGAGGACATTATCGAGGCATCCGGAATGGCGTGATCTGTAGCACCGGTGTCGGGAAACCAATCATGAGGACCCGTTGAACCAACATCACTTGCCTGAAAAGCCATATGAGCCTGAGGAGCCGGATCTTGAGCATATCGCTGAAAACACGTGTGGGCGGTGTGCCCTTGGGCATGACACAGCTGACACCGTGGAACATAAGAGCGGCCACCACCATCGCGATTCTGACCACGACCACAGCTGTGCTGCCCACGACCACCACGACCATTCCGGCCACCAGACCGGCCGCCACGCTGCACAGCCATCGCCGCCGGACCAAAGGACCCTCCAACAGCACCATCATCCGCACAAATAAACTCGTGCGCAACCAGAAAATCCGTAAGCTCGGTAAGAGAGACCGGTTCTGTAACACCCCCACTTTTCTAACTCTTAATTATCTTTCTAAACAGTCTTTAACATAATCTAAGCAGCGGAAAACTGGATAAAAGTAGTGTGGGTGTCACCGCCACAACCACCACTCTTGGAGGTTGCACAGGCTAAAGGGGTAAAACTAGAATTATAGTAAAAGTCTGACTTCTAAATGAAACACTGGAAAGTAAAGGGGGAAAACATCACCCCAAATAGTCTACATCATCAAACGTCATAAGTCTAGATTCGTAACATCATCATCAAACAACTTAGAGTTTAGACAGCTCAAACTTAAGAGACTAATCTAACTCAATCTTCTCTCACTGCTGGGCCCACCTGAAAGGGGTTTTGCAAGCAACAGATAGACAAACAGGAAAAACCCGTTAGCACGAAGCTAAGTATAACCACACTCAACCATGTAAAGCATTTCAGCATATACATGGAAAAACATTTGATATCATTGTATCAATAAGCTAATCTCAAAGTATCTTTAGATTATCATATAGTTTCTAAATGCTTTCACCCTATAATATCAGTTGGCATGCTTACATATGAATAAGACTAATCACGTATATTCATATACATATAGACTTCTCTAATAGCTTGTCAAGCAATTCATGCTTACAGATAGGATCTTGTTTAAAGATCATATAACAAGTATACACATGTTATCACACCCTTTTCACGTAACTTATTAAGTAGAACTTCTACTACATCACAATAATCATGCTCAAGGAATATCTCAAGTTAAACTTCTCATTAAACAATCTTTTACGATGTTCTATTCGCAAACTATCATGTATAACATTATGATCATGCTTCTTATGCAAACTAGTGCCACGATATACTCATACTCTTATGCAATCTAGTGCAACATTATACTCGTGTTCATATGCAATCTCATGCAACAGTATAATCATACTCATATGCAATCTATGCAAAAGTATACTCATGCTCTTATGCAATCTCGTGCAACCATATTCTCATATTCATATGCAATCTAGTGCGATATTATAGTCATACACTTATGCAATCTAGTGCAACAATATACTCATGTTCATATGCA